GTCTTAGACCCTTCGTATTTTTCTGGAATGAAGAAACCAATTGTCTGAAAAGTTGCATCCATGAATCTTTCCTATAACTCTCTTTTTTTTTTCCCCTCTTACTGTTTTATCTTCCCTCCAGGTTCACTGATCTCTTCCTTAACATGATCTTTTCTTAATATTTTAAAAATTATATTTTCAGTGTTCTTTCACTTTGAAGTTTTATTTGTTGGGTTTTTTTGCTGTGAACCTCATGTAAAAGATTGTTTTTATTCAACTGTGGTTGAATTTTCATGATGACAGCTTCAATGGTAGATATTTTGATCTTAATTTTTCTTTTTTTTTTTAGTGTTCCTCTTGTCTTCGTTCACTATTTTTTTTTGTATACTCCCTCTGATTTATTCAAATATTTTTGCCAATAAATCTTTTATGCATCAAATTTTTGGTACTTTGTTCATTTATTTATTATTATTATTCTAAATATTGCTGAAGATTCACGTGACTTTATACCTTGTAATAATACAGGTCATGTTCAGTTCCACTGCCCTATTCCATATTCTCTGTTTCTTTTTATTGAGATAGTACATTATCTCCTATCATATATTTTCTACTATTGATTATTTTGAATAGTACATTTCATTCTGGGCTCATTTATTGAAAGCGCAACAGAGTTGAATAGCTAAAATAGCTCTTTCCAACCTGTATGTATTTTCTTTCTCTTTTTATCTTCAAAAATTATCTCCTGTGCCTAACTCCACTGTGTGTTGTGGTTTTTTTCTTCCCTTTTCTGCCTAGTTGATTATCCATGTATTTTGAAATACATAATGAGTTCTCTCTGGTTGATGTCATCACTGTTGTGGTATAAATCCTTCATTTTTTTAATCTTCCATGGGAATACGTTCTAAATTCTCTGCTGTAATAATTTTTGTCACAATTCCTTAGTTTTAAGAGGCACTTTGAGACTCTAAAAGATTTCCAGACCAGTGAAATGCTCCTTCTCTCATTTAAAGAGAAACTATGATTAATTTTGAAAAATATAACCTTCCAACTCTCTTTACCTCTTCTCTTTAACATCCAGCTTTTCCACCTCACCCTTTCCTCCCAAATTCTAGAGAGGCACTTGAAAGAATGGGAAGTTTTTATCGCAGTCTACCAGGCTCCAGCTGAAAACACCTGGGGAAAAAAATGGAATACCCTGGATGTACCCTGGATGACACAAAAAGGAAAATAGGGCAAGGACAGAGCTGAGCAGCCCCAGGGACTTGGAGCCAGGGTCTGATTAGGGGTGTGACATGACCCATGGTGTCCCCCCTTTTAGGCTGACACTATTGGGACACGCAAATCCCATTATAAGAGAAGAGCACGCAGAAATCATTAGTCAACGTTTCTAAAGTGCTTTGATATCCTTTGCTCCTGAAAGGCTTGAGAAAATCTGCAAAAAATCTTTTTTTTTTTTTAATTATTTTTTTTCCCACGTGAACCCCCAAAAGCCATTTTGTAATTCACAAGAGCACTTAAAAAAATCAAAAAGTTATTAAGTACAAAGCGAGGCTCTCAAGCGGAAAGAGGTGACAGAGGACTTGGCCGAGGAGAGGGTACGCTGCCCTGAGATGGAGTAACGAGGCACAACTTGCTCGGACTTGCAGACTTTGTGGTAAAGGGTAAATCTAAGCGAGGATGTCACCCCCCAGCTAAGCAACAGGCAATTGCAGCAATTCACTTTCTATGCCTGGAGTGTGTTTTTTTTTATTTTTTTCCTAGTGGTTTGAGGGTTTTTTTTTTTGTCTTCTACAATAAATGCAGGGCAGCTTTTGTTGAGGAAACAGTGACTTCAGGCAGTTGTTGTGTTTACTTACCTCCCCAGCCACAACTCCTCCCGAGGTACAGCAATGCATGTCAGGAAAAAAAAAAAAAAGAACAACCAGAAGTCTAAACTCAAATTGTTTATGACCTGAAGGGAAAAGGAAAATGCTGAGGTTGAGCTGTATCACAAGAAATATTCAGCTTAGACATTGCAGGAATGAAGATCAAATATTTCAGCTCTGGGCATCTTCTCAAGGATGAGGATGAGAAGGGTCGTAGAATGCCTTGGACATGGGTAAAAATCTGGAAGTCGGAATAAAAGTTATTGCCTGTCCTCTGAAAAAGCACAGGAGAAGGGTAAATAGTCACAAATGCCTGTAGAATTTTCTCTGCAATGCGTAAGTTTGAAACAACGGCTCGCTTTCACCCAGCATACAGTGAATACGACATCGTGTACTGATCAAGAATGTCAAAATGATTTTTTTAAATGAAAGGCGAGCTATGCTAATATTAACTCCTGACTTCCAGTAGCACAACTCACGACTTAATTAAAGCGATGGCGTGCACCGCCTTTCCTGCACATTAAAGCAAATGTGGTTGTGAAACACTGAAGCATCTAAATCACTCACACATTTTCATACATTAAGACGAAACATTAGCAGAGTTGAACACCAAGTCATGAGTGCCTGTGAAATCCTTATGAAGCACTTTTTTTTTTTTTTTGAGAAGCCCCAGAACATACTTGATAAGAGGTAATGCCCACAACATCCAACAAAAATCCCTTATCTACTACTTTGATTTTTTTTTCCTCAGAATTCTACCTGGTTTGGTGGGTTGTGGGCAGGAGTGGGAGTTCATACATTTCTGGATTACTTCTCAGCTCAAATCACCACCAGCAGAACCATGGATGCATTTAAAGCTGATTTTCAATTTGCATTTAAACTCCCTTAGTGAAACAAAATGATTTTTTTCATAGGATTGAGATGCCACACGAAAGGCTGTTGCTCTCAATGGAAAGTTCTTGGTGTGCTGTATGATCCCAGCTGATATTCACGACTTTTTGAAATCCACCTTAGATCAGGGAGGTCTAGCTCAGTTGGAGATGGAAAAGACAAATTCCTGGGTGGTCCTAGGATAAACTGTGCTCTATCGCCACTTAATTTACCAGATGAATTTAACAGGCTCTTAAGGAAAAATGTACATGTCAGGCAAAGATGAGTCTTACAAAATCTCTGAGCAGACAAGTTTGTGACAACTTTGTAAAGGAAGAAGCAACATGCGGAGTCAGCTCAATGCACATGGTAATTCCAGTGAGGTCACGATAATGATAGCAGGAGTTACACTAGCTAATTAAGACCCAAGATTAAAGAAATCGGGATGGTGTAAGGCGGACATCACACGGTGTGAGAAGGTGAATAAAGTCAGAACCACGATAAACACCGAACTTTCGTCACTTGGAGCTGTTAAAACAGTTTGTGATAGGCACCCAAGCGCAAAACCCCCAGCCCCAAGTGAAATTCAAACCGCACAGGAACGCTGAGGAGCACTATATAAACTCCAGCCTGAGTCCATCCAGACACTTCTTTTTTGGCTTCTTCACCTTGCTGAGCTTTGTGAGTATGATCTTCTTATCTCTTTCTATTTATTTAATGGGAATCTACAGCAGAGTAGGTGTAGAAGAGTCTCAGAGGCATGCTCAGGTTTGGGGCAGCTTTGGATGGTTTCTGTCTGTAAGAACTGTGGTATATGTGAGATTTGGGAGAGTGGGTATGAGTGCAGCAAAGGCGATAAATTAATCTGAGTGTTCTAAGCCAATTTGAAGCTTAAAATTCAGAGATGAAACCAGATAGTTATTTCAGATAGTTATACAACTTAAATATAACAGATGGCCATATTTTCAACTCTGCTCAGTGGCATTCCTTGAGATGTAAATATTTCAAGCAAAGCCACATGTAACCTGGGGCTCTTCGCCTGCTTTGGGGAACTCCGCGGTAGATGACGCTGCGGTTCCTATGTTGTTCTTCAGGGCATGTGCTTGCAGGAAGTGTCAGCCACATCCATGGGAGTCCAGAAGAAAGACACATCTGTGGGGTCCAGTCATTCTTAGGGTGGTCTTATACAGTCAGAAACTTTAGATCCAGAAGCTCAGCTAGTATTAATCAGGGTGACCAAGGCTGCATAAAAAACATACACCATAGCACAGAACAGCACAGCATAATAATTTCACTCATATGATTTTGAAATATATCTCATAAACTCTCTGACTTTCTTTGTAGTCTTTTCCACCTCTACCTGTTCAAATCAATCATCTCCACACCTTCAAGATGTCTTGCTACGACCTGTGCCCACCCAAAACCAACGTTGCCGTCCCCCAGCCCATCGCTGAGAGCTGCAACGAGCTGTGCGCCCGCCAGTGCCCCGACTCCACGGCCTTCATCCAGCCCCCACCGGTGGTGGCC